TGCACTCCAGCCTGGGTGACACAGTGAGACCCTGTCTCAAAAATAATAATAAAGCTGGGTGCAGTGGCTCACACTTGTAATCCCAGCACTTTGGGAAGCCGAGGTGGGTGAAGCCTGGGCATGGTGGCTCACGCCTGTAATCCCAGCACTTTGGGAAGCCGAGGTGGGTGGATCACCTGAGGTCAGGAGTTCGAGACCAGCCTGGCCAACATGGTGAAACACCATCCATACTAAAAACTCAAAAAATTAGCCAGGCGTGTTGGCAGGCGCCTGTAATCCCAGCTACTTGGGAGGCTGAGGCAGGAGAATCACTTGAACCTACGAGGCAGACGTTGCAGTGAGTTGAGATCTCACCACTGCACTCCAAGAGCAACAAGAGCAAAGTTCTGTCTCAAATAATAATAAATAATAATAATAACAATTTTTAAAACATTCTGGTTTGATATTTCACTGTAGTTTCGCCAGATGTTACCACTGGGGGAACCTGAGAATGGGATACATGGGATTTCTCTGTGTGATTTCTTACAATTGCATGTGAATTTACAATTACCTCAAAATAATGATAATAATTTAAAAGTTTAGTTTAAAAAAATTAACCTGGAGAGCTCTCCCTTCCTTTGGGTGCCCAGTCCAGGTCCTCCGTACCTTCCCTTCCTCTCTGTTCTGTAGGTCACCAGCGACAGTGACCTGGAGTCCATGACCAACAAGATGCTGGTGAGAGGGCACGCTTACTCAGTGACTGGCCTTCAGGATGTGAGTCCTGAGAAATGTGCCCTACCCCGAGGACCCTGAGAAGGAGGAGAAGGTCTCCCTGTCCCTATAACTCTGACCTTTAACCACCCCTGCCTACCCAGGTCCACTACAGAGGCAAAATGGAAACACTGATTCGGGTCCGGAATCCCTGGGGCCGGATTGAGTGGAATGGAGCTTGGAGTGACAGGTAGGTGCCCCCAATCCAGGTCAGGGGTGGTCAGAGGATACAGCAGGCAGTGCTAGGTGGACCGACTGGTATCCCATCTGGGAGAAAAACCTGTACAACAGGGCAAAGCCCCTCCCTCTAGATTCTCCATCTAGCTCCGCACCCCAGCAGGCAGGCATTCAGGGAAGAGGGAGTCCCTTGGAGAGGAAGGAGGTGCCACGTGACTTCCGCCCCTCTCCTTCCACCGCCCATCTCTGCTCCAGGTCCAGCGAGTGGGAAGAGGTGGCCCCAGACATTCAGATGCAGCTGCTGCACAAGATGGAGGACGGGGAGTTCTGGTCAGTGTGGCTTGGGGTGGGCTTCCTACCACTGCCCGAGGCCCTGGTCCTTCATCTCCCTGCTCCGCTCCTCTCTGCGCCTTGGATGCAGAGGCTCCGGTGGTTGTTGAGGGGTTGCGGTTCAGGGAGAGGGAACTGAGGATGCAAGTGTGCTGCTGATGGGCTCCACCCCCACCCCACCACAGGATGTCCTACCAAGATTTCCTGAACAACTTCACGCTCCTGGAGATCTGCAACCTCACGCCTGATGCACTCTCTGGGGACTACAAGAGCTACTGGCACACCACCTTCTATGAGGGCAGCTGGCGCAGAGGCAGCTCCGCAGGGGGCTGCAGGAACCACCCTAGTGGGTGAGGGGGTTCAGGGGGAGGGGGTGTGCAGGGAGTGAAGGATGGGCCATGGCTCACCATGAAACCAGACCTGGGGCACAAGTCACCGGAGTCAGGGTCCATGAGGTCAGGGGTTAGTCAGATTTCACAGCCCCTGTGGAGAAGACAACTCCTGTGTGGCTGGGGAAGCTCGGTCCACCCTGGAAAGGGCGTGGCCAAGGGAAGCCCCCATATAACCATGCTGACCCACTTCCACCACAGGCACGTTCTGGACCAACCCCCAGTTTAAGATCTCTCTCCCTGAGGGAGATGACCCAGAGGATGACGCAGAGAACGATGCTGTGGTCTGCACCTGCCTGGTGGCCCTGATGCAGAAGAACTGGCGGCATGCACGGCAGCAGGGAACCCAGCTGCAGACCATTGGCTTTGTCCTGTATTCGGTGGGTGCCTGGCTGGTCCCCCCGGCCACTCACTCTCTCTCACCTGGCCTCACTCCTTGCTTGCTTGCTTGCTTTCTTGCTTTCTTACTTTCTTGCTTTCTTGCTTCCTTTCTTTCCTTTCTTTCTTTCTTTCCTTTCTTTTCTTTCTTTCTTTCTCTCTTTCCCTCTTTCTCTCTTTCTTTCTTTCTTTTTTTTTTTTGACAGAGTCTCACTCTGTTTCCTAGGTGAGGGCAGGGAAAGAAAGATTGCAGTGGCACAATCTCCATTCACTGCAAACTCTGCCTCCCCAGTTCAAGTGATTCTCGTGCCTCAGCCTTCCCAGTAGCTGGATTACAGGCATGTACCACCATGCCCAGATAATTTTTGTATTTTTAGTAGAGATGGGGTTTCACCATGTTGGCTAGCCTGGTCTGGAACTCGTGACCTCAGGTACTCTGCCTGCCTCGGCCTCCCAAAGTGTTGGAATTACAAGTGTGAGCCACCACGCCCAGCCACCTGGCCTCACTCCTTTCTCCCCAGGGCCACTTCCTGCCTGGGAGAGGAACAGGCTCCAACAGGCTTCACAGCCCTGATTTCTTTTTTTTTTTTTTAAAGACAGAGTCTCAATCTGTTGCCCAGGTTGGAATGCAGTGGTGTGATTACAGCTCACAGCAGCCCTGACCTCCCAGGCTTAAGCAATCCTCCTACTTCAGCCTCCTGACTAGCTAGGACTGCAGGCAATTGTCCTGCTAGTTTTGTTTTTTTTTAAAATTTTTTGTAAGATAGGGTCTCACTATGTTGCCCAGGCTGAGCCCTGACTCTTGAATGGTGCTTTGTGCTTTTCAAGCCAGAGCCAGCAGTTTTCTCTTCATGGATTTTATCCTTTGTGCCAGGCATTGTTCCAAAGGTCTCAGGAATACTAACTACTAATACCTTTAAGGAAGCAGAAGGAGCCTGTGGACCAGCGATATGAAGTCACTTGCCCAAGCTCACACATCCAAGGGTCAGAGGCCAAGCCTGTGTCCTGATTCCCAGGCACTCTGAGACTTTTCCACACGCCGCCCCCTGCGGACAATCCGTGCCCCCCGCCGACAATCCATCCCCCTTGTCTGCTCCACCAGCCGCACTCATTCCAGGAGCCAAGAGAAAGCCCTGAGAAGCATTTCCCAAGCCAAACCATGCTTTTCAAAATTCTCCAAATCTCCAAAAGAATGTTCTTCGTTCACTTGCTTTCCCTTCTATAAGCAAGTTATATGGAGCATCTACTGTATGCCAGGCCCCAGTTCAGTCTCCAGGGGTTCAATAGTGAGCAAAACAGACACAAGCCTTGCCCTACTCTTAGGGCCATTAGTCCACGAGGTTAACAGACTGGTGCTTCAGGATAACATTTTTGCTGGGGCTGGTGGCTCATGCCTGTTATCCCAGCACTTTGGGAGGCCGAGGTGGGAGGATCACTCGGAGGATGCCCAAGGAATTTAACACCAGCATGGGCAACACAGCAAGAGCCTGTCTCAACAACAACAACAAAAAATTAGCCGGGCATGGTAGCACACACCTGTGGTCCCAGCTACTCGAGAAGCTGAGGTGAGAGGATCATTGGAGCCCAGGAGGTCAAAGCTGCGGCGAGCCATGATCGCACCACTGCACTTCAGCCTGGGCACAGAGCAAGACCCTGTCCCAAAGACGTCCTCAAGGTTAGAAAAGCTCAGGAAAGACGACTCCAGCCCGAGCTCTCCGGTGCACACAAGCACACTGAGGTGCTGATAAGCCACCTCTGCAATACAGCAACCTGTTTAACTTGGTTTAACTCACATTTTTACAAACTTATTTGTCCTTGATCCTCAATTTTAGTAATCTTCTGTTCACTTCCTGCAGGATATGAGTGTTCCGCGGAAAAGCAAAACACTGTCCTAGATTTTTATCCCAGCTCTTTCACTTTTCAGCCATCTGAGGTTGGACAAATCACCTCACATCTTTGGGATTCTGTTTCCTTCCCTTAACCTGGAATGATAAAAATCTACCTTATATAAACTGTACTTTACTACCGAAAGCTGAAGGATTTTTTTTTTTTTTTTTTTTTTGAGACAGGGTCTCACTCTGTTGCCCAGGCTGGAGGGCAGTGACATGATCATGACTCACTGCAGCCTTGACCTCCAGCTCAAGCAATCCTCCCACCTCTACAGCAGAGGGATTGTTAATGCCAGGACCTTTGAACTGTCAGAGCCCGTGCCCCACTCCACCACCCGTGTCCCAGGGCTCTTAATACCCCTCCAAAAACACACACACACAGACACAGACACACACTATACACATCCCGTTTGGCTTCCGAAGGCCTGAGGCCCTTTACCACCCTAGAGATCTGACTCTCCTCTTTCTTCCCTTCCCAGGTCCCAAAGGAGGTACAGAAGATAAAGATGTGGGGCTTGTTCCTGGACACACACCCACCCCACCCCTGGCTGCAAGTGGATTGGCAAAGGGTGGAATTTGGCGAGAGGCTCTGGGGGTCACTGGGTTAGGATTCCAGCCCTCTTGGGGACTGGTAGGGGTCGGGAAAGGAAGAGACCCTATTGGAGTTGCGGACCACTTAGGTGGTGTCCAGGCCAGGTCAGTTGGTGGTGGCACCTACCTCCAACCCTGCCCGGCCAGGCTGTTCACCTTGGGGGGCCCTCCCTCCCTAACCTCCCGTGCCAGTCCTGTACCCACCTCCAGAGTGCATATAGTTTCAGAACATCCAGGATGTCCCCTTGAAGAAGGAATTCTTCGTGAAGTATCAGGACCATGGCTTCTCAGAGATCTTCGCCAACTCACGGGAGGTGAGCAGCCAACTCCGGCTGCCTCCGGGGGAGTATATCATTATTCCCTCCACCTTTGAGCCACACAGAGATGCCGACTTCCTACTTCGTGTCTTCACTGAGAAGCACAGCGAGTCATGGTAAGGGACTGCACCTCACTGCTCCAAGGCCTGCCACCCAAGAGCTGTAGGATATCAAGCTCAGGGAGCTGCTGTCAGGTCCTCCCTCACTTTGTCCCTATTTTACAGTCAGGGAAACTGAGGCATGAAAAGGTGAAGTCCCAGTTAGTGGCAGAACCAGACCTAGAACTAGAACCCAGATTTCCATGGAGCTGCCCTATATTGCTTCAAAGACATGACATGACCCCCAGAGCACCCTGCTGAAATCCCCGTCTCCCTCCCCCGGTAACTCTTGAGCTTTCAATGATTTTGCCCAGGGAATTGGATGAAGTCAACTATGCTGAGCAACTCCAAGAGGTGAGGGGAGGCTGTAGGGCTGGGGGTTGGAAGGAAGCTCCCAGGCCTGTGAAGGAAGTTTTCTGACCAGGTCCCTTTCCTGCTCCCTTGCCCCCAGGAAAAGGTCTCTGAGGATGACATGGACCAGGACTTCCTACATTTGTTTAAGATAGTGGCAGGAGAGGTGAGCAGGCCACAGGCGGAGGGCTGACGGGAGGGGGATGAGGGGCTGGAGGGACCCAAGTGGGGTTCACTGTCCCCCTTCCTAGGGCAAGGAGATAGGGGCGCACGAGCTCCAGAGGCTGCTCAACAGGATGGCCATCAAATGTGAGTCTTCCACTCCTGCTGCACGCGACCCCTCCCCCATATTTTGTGCCCCTCTTGATCACTCCCAGTGCCCCCCACGATACCTCATTTACCCTGTCTCTCCTTTCTACCCCCTCCCTTCCTCACAGTCAAAAGCTTCAAGACCAAGGGCTTTGGCCTGGATGCTTGCCGCTGCATGATCAACCTCATGGATGTATCCTCCTGTCCAGTGCTCTCTTGGCCCTGTCCCCTGCCTACAAGCCTGACCCAGAGGCCAGCCATGCCCTCCTCCCTGATGGGGATTAGGCTCTGTGATAGCAGAAGATGCCAGTTCTTCTGGCTGCTACAGTACCGGAATCCCAGGGCTTGTGTGTCCCCTCGGGAAGCCCTGCTGCTTCCCTGTCCCCTGGGATGCCTTCTCCACTCCCTTCTCTGCTGTCCTTGACCACCTTCCAGAAAGATGACTCTGGCAAGCTGGGGCTTCTAGAGTTCAAGATCCTGTGGAAAAAACTCAAGAAATGGACGGTAAAGGGCACTAAAAGGGCAGCCTCGAGGGGTAAGGAAAAGAGGGTCTTAGGAGAGATGGAACTAATGAGGGGAAGCTAGAACTGGAGCCCTAACCACACACACACACCCCCACACCACACTCACACACACACACACCCCCTCACATACAGACACAACACCACACACACACACAAACACACACACACACTAGAAAAGGGTCTGTTGGAGTGTGGCATATTACCCAGTCAAAATATTTTATAACAAGTATAGCTCAGGTATCAACTAGTCATGAAGGATGCACACAGAGAGCGCCGGGCAGGGCACCAGTGCCTCCGACAACCCATGCTTGGCATTAACCCTTAGGTCACCAGATGATAGGCATATCAGGAGTGGGCCAGGGTTGGAGTTGGGGCATGGTGTCTTAGGCCACTGCTGTGAGCCGACTGTCCTAAAATATTTATTTTTCTTTTCTTTTCTTTTTTTTTTTTTTTGAGACGGAATCTCACTCTGTTGCCCAGGCTGGAGTGCAGTGGTGCGATCTCTGCTCACTGTAACCTCCACCTCCTGCCTCCTGACTAGCTGGGATTATAGGCATGCACCACCACACCCAGCTAATTTTTGTATCTTTAGTAGAGACGGGGTTTCGTCATGTTGGCCAGGCTGGTCTCGACCTCCTGACCTCAGATGATCCACCTGCCTCGGCCTCTCAAAGTGCTGGGATTACAGGCGTGAGCCACTGCACCCGGCCTCAGTATTTCATTATTTCAACCACCATGCCATGCACGTGGCCCTACCACATCTGTCTGTCTATTCAGGACATCTTCAGAGAGTGTGACCAGGACCATTCAGGCACCTTGAACTCCTATGAGATGCGGTTGGCTATTGAGAAAGCAGGTGGCCAAGGGTCAGGTGCGGGCCTTGGGGCAGGGAAGAGGATGGCAGCATCCAGAGGCCTGGACTTTTCCCCTCCCCACTTCTCTGTCTCTCAGGCATCAAGCTGAACAACAAGGTAACGCAGGTCCTGGTGGCCAGGTATGCAGATGATGACTTGATCGTAGACTTTGACAGCTTCATCAGCTGTTTCCTGAGGCTAAAGACCATGTTCAGTGAGTTAGGCATCTACCCACACCCCAGCCTAGGCCAGGGGCTGCGGGCCCTCTCCCATACACCCTGATGGGTGCTGCTCCAGAGCCCCTCCCCCTTACAAGGCACACGTGAAATGGGTTCAAAGCCCAGCTCCGCCACTTGCTGGCAGCTGTGACTTGAGCAAGTCACTTAATCTTTCTGTGCCTCCATTCCCTCCTCTTTAGAATGTGGATAATAATAGTGCTGCCCTCAAAGGACTGAGGTGCAGGTTAAACCAGTTAGTCTATGGAAGGCACTCAGAACTGGGCCTGGCTCCTGGTGAGGCTATGTGAGTTGCTCTCATTAATTCCCCACTGGGCTAGGGGATTTATGTGGGGAACAGCCAGGAACAGCTGGTGTTGCCCCTTCCTACCTAGTTGGGAGTGGTTCTTTCAGAACACTGACTTAGCACTCAGCCCCTCTCCCCCGCTTCCTCTGTAACACAGCATTCTTTCTAACCATGGACCCCAAGAATACTGGCCATATTTGCTTGAACCTGGAACAGGTACTTGGAGAGGGGTGGGAAGGAATCTGCAGGATTGCGCCTGCCTGCCTCACAACCCCACCCCCACCCAGCTCTGCTGTCCTCTGGCCAGCATCCTGCCCCCACCTCTTCCCACCCTGGGATCTGCTTCCTGTCTCCACAGTGGCTGCAGATGACCATGTGGGGATAGAGGTCTGCAGGAGCCTGGCCATCTCTACCAGCAGCAGCGAGGTTCTAGCCCAGGAGGGTGCGGTGCTTCTTGTAGCCCTCAGCTCTCCGGTCTCTGCTGATGAAATGGGCTCCAGGTGGCAGTGCCCAGGTCCCAGGTGCCATGTTTACTGCAGCAGTGGGACCTCCGTGCCCACTCCCCGAGCTCAGAGCCTTTCTCTTTTTTCCCAAACCAGGCTTCTGATGGCTGGCTTTCCCCCACCATCGCTCGCTCTCAGAGTATATTTTACTAAAGAGTAGGTGATGCTTCCCCAGGATCCCCCTGGCTGGAGAGGTCAAGAATAGGGAAGGGACTTGTAGCTCATTTCTCATGCTCCATGCTTGCTGTCCTGCTCACACCTCCCTGCTGACCACCCATCCTGGCACAGCCTCTCTCTTTTCCTCCCCACCTGTGGACACTATTCTAATAAATAGCACATGCCATTGGCTTCCCTGTCTCTGTGTTTTTATCCCAGGAAAAGACTGGCAAGGGTGGAAGTCACTTCCCCAGGACCAAAGGATTGGGTAGCTCTCAGCCAAAGGTGATAGAGAGCATGTAGAAATGTGCAGTTGTCACAATAACTGGAGGCCACAGTTGGTGTTTATGGGCAGTGCCGGATGCTAAGCACACAAGTCTCTCCCTGTAAAGAACTGTGTGGTGTGCCCTATGGTGGAGTGCCTCTAGAGGGGCTGAGCCAGAGCTGGCAGGAGTCTCATCAGCTGCTTCAAACTGGGGTCCCCAAAGGTGGCACTGCAGGGGCCTCAAATGTTAAAAATCTGACACCCGCAGCAACCAACAGGTCACATAAATGAACGAACCTGCCGGGCGCGGTGGCTCACACCTGTAATCCTAGCACTCTGGGGGGCCGAGGCAGGTGGATCACCTGAGGTCAGGAGTTGGAGACCACCCCGGCCAACATGGCAAAACTCCATCTCTGCTAAAAATACAAAAATTAGCTGGGCTTAGTGGCACGCGCCTATAATCCCAGCTACTTGGGAGGCTGAGGCAGGAGAACTGCTTGAACCCGGGGGATGGAGGTTGCAGTGAGCCAAGATCATACCACTTCACTCCAGCTTAGGCAACAGAGCAAGACTCTGTCTCAGAAACAAATTAAATAAACAAACAAACAAACAAACAAACAAACCCTCCTGGTGTGGGACTGGGAGGGCTGAGGACTGTGGCAATAGGTGAACTCATTCCTGCCTTAAAGGTGTTCAGATTCAGATTGTTATTACTATTGTTAGAAATTTGTTGCCTGTTCACTTACTAAAACCTCCCTTAACTATCCTCCACCTTATCCAGAGAAGCTTCTTCTTTTAGAAAATCAAGCAAAACAACTAAGTCAAGACATGTTAAAAAAAAAAAAAAAAAAGTTTGAAAAGGAACCTGTAAGGAAATACAAGGGGAGGGATTGTTAGATATGAGTTCTAAATTTCTTTTCAAAGAATTAATATGTCAGTATGTTCAATTCTTTGCCTTCTACTTTTAAACTTCTTCATAAAGCAATCTTTTCAATTACCTACTCCACTCTTATTCCAATTGCCTGCTACCTGCTCTGCCCTGACTCCTACCAAAGTACTCACGCCGTCATTCTCTTTAAATTAGTCAATCAGAATTAGTTTATCCTGTGCAGTCTAACCCTAGCCAATAGGGGAACAACACAGCATCAGGAATAAGAACCCCTTCCCCTCCCTTGTCCAAATGTGCGCTCCCCATTGTTCCATCTAGGCTCACCCTTCTATATAGAAGTAACTTGTCTTGCTGAGAATTTAAAAGAAAATTTAAAAAAAGAAAGAAATTTGTTGCCTGTCAAGTTACTGCTCTTGCAGGAGGCATGGAAGAAACACTTATTTCTGGGTCCACCTGTTTTTGACCTCGGGGTCTCTGCCTCAGATGCCCACGCCCACACCCCAACCCCAGCCCCAGCCCCAGCCCCCTGCAGTAGTGAGAAGATCCAGGCAATTAACAGCAGTCTCTAAACTGCACTTCTCCCCCTGTCCTTTGAGAGCTCTCCACGGCATCCCCTTCTGGTTTCTGGCAGGGACACTGGAGCCCAAGCACATGCGCTTCTCAGCCTCTCAGGTAGAGACAGCGCCCCCAACTTCCCCTAGATTAGAGATCTGTCATCCCCAACGAAGCTAAACCCTTCCTGTCTCTGTGTACCTGTGCAGCTTCCTGGGGTCGCTAACTTCCTGCCACGTGCTCTAAACCCAGCCCGTGTGTGCTTAGTGGAGCAGGTGGGATTCTGATCTTCCTTAATCTGGTGACTGATTCTCTGCACGAGCCCTGGCCCCTGTCTTCTTTGTGACTTCAAAGACTAAAGCTAGTCTGCCTGGATATAAAGCCGCCTTCCCTCCATTATCGCCACCCCGCACAGCCTTCAAAGGAATCGTTTCCTGTCCTGCCAGCCCTCCCTGCTTCCTCTCCGTCTCCAGTCCACTATGAAAGAATAGGTCACACTCTCTTTGGAGCCTCTTGAAAAACTGTTCTCCCACTCGTCATTCTCCCTCTCTCTCTAAGAGATGGCAGCCACCACCTGCTCTCCACAGAGCTTCTCTGGGTGATGAGCAGAAGTCCCCAGGGAGAGCAGGAGAGGTCAGTGGGAGCCTCAAACTAACAGGTCCATGATGGGCATGGTGGCACATGCTTGTAATCCCAGCTACTTGGGAGGCTGAGGAGTTTGAGATCAGCCCTGGGCAATATAGGGAGACTCCATCTTTTAAAAACAAAAACCTAGCAGGTCCTTTGAGACTCTGAGAGGTCCTGGGCAGTCCCAGTTGGTTCTGGGGACCCTAGGAAGATGCTAACCCCACCCTTTGTTCCATGGCCTAGGGTGAGATGCTGCCAACTTCAAGCCAGGATGGAGAGGAAGCAGAAAACTCTCAAATCAGGATTATCCCTTCCGGTTTGTAACAAAGCTGGTTACTCATGAACACTCTGTAAACATAAAACGAAGCAAGCTTCATATGAGTAGAGAGTTTGTTTGGGCCAAACTTAAGGATTGTAACCCTGGAAAATAGATTCAAATTGTTCTGAATATACATTCCGATTAGCAGCAGTTACAAGTGGATTTTTAGGCTGGGTACAGTGGTTCACACCTATAACCCCAGCACTTTGGAAGCTTGGGATGGGCAGATCACTTGAGGCCAGAAATTCAAGACCAGCCTGGCCATCATGGTGAAACCCCATCTCTACTAAAAATACAAAAAATAGCCAGGCGTGGTGGCACACGCCTCTAGTCCCAGCTACTCAGGAGGCTGAGGCATGAGAATCGCTTGAACCCGGGAAGCGGAGGTTGCAGTGAGCCGAGATAGCACCACTGTACTCCAACCTGGATGACGGAGTGAGACTGTCTCAAAAAAAGAAAAGAAAAAGTTAGCCAGGACTGGTGGCACACACCTGTGGCCCCAGCTGCGTGGGGAGCTGAAGTGGGAGGATGACTTGAATCCAGGAGGTCGAGGCTGCAGTGAAATGCGACTGCACTCCCTGCACTCCAGCCTGGGTGACGGAGTGAGGCCTTGTCTCAAAAAAAAAAAAAAAAAAGTTTTTGTTTTGTTTTGTTTTGTTTTGGGGTGTGTGTGTGTGTGTGTGTGTGTGTGTGTGTGTGTGTCAGGGTCTCTCTTTGCCACCCGGCTGGAGTGCAGTGGCACAGTTTTGGCTTACGGTAACCTCTGCCTCCTGGGCTCAGGTGATCCTCCTGCCTCAGCCTCCCTAGTAGCTGGGATTACAGACACCTGCCGCCACCACACCTGGCTAATTTTTGTATTTTCAGTAGACACAGGGTTTCACCATGTTGGCCAGGCTAGCCTCAAACCACCGACCTCAAGTGATCTGCCCCACCCCACCCCACCCCCAGCCTCCCAAAGTGCTGAGATTAAAGGCATGAGCCACTGTGCCTGGCCCAAAATGCATTTTTAAAGGTAAAAAAGGGCCGGGCATAGTGGTTCACGCCTGTGATCCCAGCTCTTTGGGAGGCCAAGGCGGGCGGATCACGAGGTCAGGAGGTCGGGCCTGCCGAACATGGCGAAACCCCGTCTCTAGTAAAAATACAAAAAATTAGCCAGGTGTGGTGGCGGGCACCTGTAATCCCAGCTACTTGGGAAGCTGAGGCAGGAGAATTGCTTGAACCCAGGAGGTGGACGTTGTGGTGAGCCGAGATTGCGCCATTGCATTCCAGCCAGGGCGACAGTGAGAAACTCCGTCTCAAAAAAGAAAAAAGAAAGAAGAAAAAGAAAAGAAAAGAAAGAAAAGTAAAAAAGGAGGACAGTGAGTGGAATGGTACAAAGTTGTTTGTCAGGAATTCTGGTTTTCAGAAATAACGTTGATTAGTTATTGGCTATAGTGTCTGGTGTTGCATTATTAGGATAATTTATAGCTACTTGTCGCAATAGCAGACAGTTTAAAGAGATGAATACATAGCTTGAATGGGACAGCAGGGTATAGGGTGCAATTGTGTGTCATATTAATGTCTCTCTGGGCCTGATAGTTAAAAGGGCTTGCCTTCCTCAGATAAAAGTTATTTTTATTTTATTTATTTTTATTTTTTATTTTCTTGAGACAGAGTCTTTCTCTGCCGCCCAGGCTGGAGTTCAGTGGCGCAATCTCAGCTCACTGCAACCTCCGCATCCCGGGTTCAAGCGATTCTCAGGCCTCAGTCTCCCAAGAAGCTGGATTACAGGCACCTGCCACCTCGCCAAATAAAAGTTATTTTCTTTTCCCAACACTTCACACAGTGGCTCAAGGTGAGGATTCATGAGCTGTGTGTCTTTGGGCAAATGATTTTACCTTTCTAACAGAGTGTCCTTCTGAATCTGTCAATTAGAGGTGACAATTCCTATCTCAGAGGGGTGTTGGATGGACAACTGCGATAATGCGATAATGAAAGTGAAGCACTTAGGCACATCATTCTTTAAAAAAAAAAAAAACTTTGATATTATCTATAATAGTAAAAAAAATTTTAAAAACGATTTTTCAGTTGTGAACACATTATAGCCAAGAGCGGTGGGTCATGCTTACAGTCCTAGTTACTCGGGAGGCTGAGGCAGGAAAATCGCTTGAGCCTAGGAGTTCAAGGCTGCAGTGAGCTCTGATCAAACCACTGCATTCCAGCCTGGGCAACAGAGGGAGGCTCTGTCTCACAAATAAATAAATAAATACATACACATTAGATGTTACACACAATAAAATATCAAGCCATTGAACTAAATAACACAAATAGCATGAGGGTTATGACATAGAGTTGAATAAGCAAGATGCATATTAGATTTACAATAGTCCTTGACATTAGTAAGTGTTTACCACTTGTCTGCATTAAATATTATTAGCAATGGCTATTTACAATATTATTTAAAATTTGGAAAATGAGGTACGCCATTCTTCTAGTCCCTTCGGGCTCCATTTTTGTCCAGCTTCACTGGAACTCCATCCCAGCTCAGCCTGAATGCCCTGG